CCTTCCGCCTCCCCAGGCAACGAAAATGTTAATGCTTTACGTTAGCAGACAGATTTCCATGAGGGGGGGGGGTATCTTTTAAAATGGCCTGAACGGGAAAGAGAATATTTAATAACAACAATATTGTAAATATTTACCCCAAAAATTCAAAACAACAATTTAAAAATATTTTACACTTTTAATACTCGTCTTTTCTTACAGGACAAGTTTTATTAAATGAACCTCACAAAAACTTTTTTTTTCAACTGTCCGCCTGCTGGTTCTGGGCAGGTACGCTAAGCATGCCGTTATTCTGAATGGTTAAGCTGCTTGTCGATCATTGTCACCCATGCGAGTCATTGAGCAGCTTTCCATCTCCCTTGGTCCAGCATGGGGTAAGAGCCAGCGATGACGCAACCTATCTGGATGAAAGTTTCTTAATCTCTTAACTTTTCCCCATGATTCGCTGACCATGAAGGGTTAGCATCTGTCATGAGTCATAATCCCTGCCCAGCTAGCATAAGAACAAGAAGGAAGAAAGAAGCACGTGATCACAAAGAAAGTTATGCTTTTTAAAAATAAAACGACGCATCCATATTGTTTAGAATTCATTTCATTAGATAGGACCTGAAAGTTTGCTTCGAATCCTCTGAACCACGTCGCATCATTAAGGAAAATTGGCTTTGAACGTTGTCGACTTTTACTTCGTAATTTGCACTTTGTCAGCCAAAGGGATTTAAATTATAATAATAATAATTGCATTTATATAGCGCATATCCATCCTCAAGAGCGTGCTCTATGCGCTTTACAACTATTATTACCCCAGCAGACCCTTTGAGAACACTCTGAAGCATTCTCGGCTTCCGCGGAAGCATACAGTGCAGGCTGCGGATTTCACGCGCTCAAACACTATCAAACTGACAAGATCGTTCACAAGAGCTCTCGTTTGTCACAACACCACTTGTGATTGTTTTTTCGCTTCGTTTGTTTTATTTCAACTTGGACGTGTGCTTCATACCTTCACTGTGTTACTCTATGCAGCTTCAGTAGGCTGAGTACTCTAAAACTCCGACGACCAGAGATCGAGACACACTCTGTGAGTGTCACCGAAGCTTTAGATCATAGAGAGGAACGTGTTCTAAGCGGAGGTGCTACCGCGCAGATTTTTCAGCTACATTTTTAAACAATCCGGACAAGAAAAAAGCTCTGATCGAAGAATCTCACCTTTCTTGAGGATGAAAGCACGGCCAATATTCGCAGAACACATTCTATTTCCACACTGAGGTGGTCTTCCTACAAGACCTCTTCCATCAGTGCATCATCCACACGGAGAAAGCGTTCAGCTGTCCTATGTCACTGGTCATCATGATGGAGCTTATCTCTTAAGATCTGTTTCAGGCGTTACCTTGTATATCAGAAGAAGAGGTCGGTCGGTACTTTCGTCAAATCACCGAGGCCTTGACCTATCTACGCTGTCGTAGTACATGGGGATGTCAAGTTACAAAATGTAGTACTCAGTAGTACTCGCCGATCTATTTGTCTTTGGACATTCTAAGACAGTACCAGAAAATACAAACAGTCTGGATACTTGGGGAAGCTGTGCATCTTACCAGTGACCTGAAGACAAGAAAGGTCAACCGGTGCAGTTTTTGCCTGGGTGTTTTACTCTGGGTACTTCTGTTCCGAAAACGACCCAAGAGAGGCACGGATTACCTGAAGACTCTGGACGCCGATCAAACAATCTCCTCCACATACAGGGAATGTGCTCAACGTTTACTGTGTCCTAGGCCTGCATACTGGGCTTCAGTCTTACAAATTCTTAAAATTCTCACCAACAATCGCCAGACAAATCTTCGTGTCAACCATGACGTCACAAATACCACGTGACTTATGTGATTAGATAGAACAACAAAGGAGAAGAATTTGATAATCAATACATTGGATTCTCCACTATAAAATATTCATCGTCGTAACTCTCTTTCAATACCCGGAGCACTTTGACATGAATCACAACAATATCCCAGACTGGGCACTACCTTTGATGCCTTTCTCTTTATCTCTGCCCCTGTCTCCCTACCCCCCTTTTCACTCTCTCACTCCCTCTCTCTCTCTCTCTCTCTCTCACTCTCTCTCTCTTTCTCTCTCTCTTTCCATCTCTCTCTCTCTCTCCATCTCTGTCTCTCTTTCTATGTTTCTTTCTCTCTTTCCCTCCCCCCCTCTCTCTCTCTCT